CAAATATGTAAATATGAAAGTTTATTTGTGATAGATGTAAATACATATGAATTATGTGCTATGTGTGTTAATTAATTATGTATTGGTGTAAAAAATGATGCATTAAAATATGTATTTCACTTTTAAAAGTTAGCTATAACGATTTTTTTTTTGGGTGAAGTTAAAGGTTTGATATATATATATATTGATATGTTCACTAATCATGCCTAAAGAACGGAGCATAAAACAGAAGAGAGGGAGAAAAACAGGGAGGGAAGTGCACCATGATGAAAGTAGTTTGAATTCTTAATTGGATATTTATCATAAAATAATCCCTATATTTATAAACAAGGTAGATAGAATATATAAAATTACATGTTTGTCCTGCTTTAATGGGGGCATTACAATATATTTTATGTATTTTACATGTACAGACTATTGGCTCAACCATCACGTGACTCGGTCGACTGAAATCGATTGGCCCTAATTTGGTAAGATATGTTCATCCAATTGTGCTCAATTAAGATTATCGATCGGTTTTTAATGAACTTAGGGTGACAAGAATTGACTCGACCAACTTCACTTTGTCGTTCAAACATGTTAATATATTTGTCGGCTATTGATCTCAAGGCAATGAACTCCTGTCGACAAAGCAATGCTAGGCTATCGGGCAATTGATGAATCATTGTAATTCGATAGATAGCCCGCTCTGCGATGAGGCAATCATTTGATATGCTCCATTTGATTAAGTTATGACTGGTTCTTGATCCTTGATTACAAATCTCAAGGACGATCGTGAGATGGTTGGTGATGTCGAATTCTTCTATTGATTTGGTTTTGGCGAGAGATAGGTTGGTGTTTTGCTCAGCTCGATTAGCCTTGGTTGTTGATTCGAATGGCTCGTATTCGGTTTTCCTTTAGCCCTTATTCAAGGGGGCTGCACCCAACAAGGCAGGTTATTTGGTATTCCGCCAATGAACCTGGTCTTCCCCTAGTGGACCCCTGGTCTTCTACTAGTGAACGCTTGATCTTTTGCCCGTGGACCCTTGGTTTTCCTCCTGTGGACTCTCCTCCGCCTCACTCATTTGTCATTTTGTCTGCTGGATCTTCTTAAGATTTGTGCATACGCGTTTCTATTGTGTGTGTGCGCGTACATGAAAGTTTAGCTAGCTTAAGGCCGTCTCACCCATCAAAAGAGCAGCTCAAGATCAAGTCATGTCCATGGAATGACTTCAAGGTTGACTTGTACCCTTTTTATCAAGCTCAAGAGCTTAACTCATGCTCGTTAAAGGTCTTCCAGAAGTAAAACTTTATTGCATTTATTAAATGCAGACTCCTTTTAAGTTTGCATTTAATGTAGTAGGATTTTACTCACTCGATTTTACTAACGAATACATTATAAACATATTTATTTTTCTTTATTCAGTTGAAGAGCTTATGGGCCAAGTCTATTAAATTTGAACTTGAGCCCGTTCATATAGCTCGAACTCATGACTTGATAAACTCGACTGACAAGCTTGAGTGGGTCGAATTTGAGCCCCAAGCTTCGCTATCTCGGCTCATTTACACCTAGTCCACCATAAACAAACTCTTGGTCTTATGCCCGCGAAATAAAAATTATAACTTCTTTATATTACTGCTACATTGCCATTTCCCATTAAAATTTATTGTAAAATTATTCAAAACTAATCACTTTACAAACACATGCAGTGATTTGATAACTTGCCAAGCTAAAAAAGTTGTTAGATTTACTTAAGAACAATCACCCCTTATAAAAATATATATTCAACAAATAACTCTTTCAAATATTAAAAAAAATTGGATTAAAGCAATTATATGATTACAAAATCAAATTCAACATTTTGAAATATAAATTCAAGCATTTCAAGATTTATTTTATCAACTTCAAAGTATATTTTTAACATAAAAAAAAAATTATTTTATTATTTGAAAATATTTTAAATATAATATTCACTTACAATTTCAACAAAATACAAGTGATTTATTTCATCACTTACTACACAATTATGTAAACTCGCCGTAAATTGGGAGTATTGATTCACAAAAGAGAACATTGATAACAATAGAAGCTTATAGACAATGTTATAGGAATACTTAAAAAGAATGGTGGGGAAGAATGCCATTAGCTAGAGAGTTAGTAGATTGGGTGAACTTCTAAACTTGGGCAACATTGAGAGAAGAGTTATAGGGTTCAAGTAAAGCATTTGCAGATAAAAAGTTATAAAATATATGAGAGAGGGTATAATAAAATCATATAAATATGGGAGATGTCGATGAACTCTAATTCGAAATCGATTGACGGGAGCCAATTGTGAAAATCATCAATCAAAGATATGATTCTTGATAAAAGGCTTGACAGTGTCACACCGATAAGTTTTGGGACACTTTTGGGGTGAATTGTTCAGTCTAATTGATCATGCGAGTAAATTCGGGCGGCTGTTGTTGAGCATATTAGAGCTAAATAAATATCTACCGTGTTAAAAACTAGGAGAAAAAAATTAGGTTTTGGCGACTTAAAAATATTGAAAGTTTATAAACACTTTATTGATTATTTCAGGTCTATGGGTAATTTTTCTTCTAAAAAAATATAAGTTCAATGATGACATTTAGTCATTTTGTTTCTACTTTAAAGTTGACCATATATATAATTTGAAAACTAGTAAAAAAGTAGGTGTTAAGATGCATATGGGCTCAAGCCATCAACTCACTTATTTAACTAATTTATCTTAAATCTAATGTCACGATCCAACCAAGACCTTGGAATTAATCAATGCTGAAAAAAAAACGGTCAAGTGGTGGATCTTAAAATTATTCTATAACTAATATTTTAATATATGAAAGAACCTCTAAAAAAATAACTAAAACAATGCAGTAAATTTTACCTAATTTATATTAGTTCGCATCTTCAACAAACATTTTCTCTTCTATCACTAATCCTTTTAATCAATTAGTTAAACCTAAAAAAATCTTTGCATAAAACAGCAATAAACCAGACTAAGCTAGTGAATACTCAACTCATAAAGTATAATAATTCAATGAAAATGGAGGCAATATGCACATCAAGTAAATTGCATAAAAATTACAATGATATTTGACACTTAGTACAATCTAATATGATCATTCAATGTGATTTTAAACTTTCACCATATCTTACTACATTATTTACATATTAATATATTTTTAATATGTATACATCTGTCAAGTCTAACATTATGTCATTTAAGGTATTTCAATATAAATATTATTTTTCGTTTACATGCACATGTTCGTTAGTGTTCCTCGCCGGTACCATAAATGAGTGATTCTATCATAGTCAAACATGCATATGCAAGCAATCAAAATTATATATCTTATTCTTAGTTTTTTCAAATCATTCAATAACTTGAATTATGCATTTATATGACATGCAAATATTAGTGAAACACACTCAATATGATTAAATGAATTTAAAGAGCCAGTAATTATATCTAAGCAAGTGACAGAGCGAATCAAACTTGGGAGAGACCAAATATTACCATAATTTAATAGTATAAGTACTCACCTTACTTGCACATGATTCTTGTAGCCACTCAATCCTTGATGTCCTTTATTTAGTGTGAAAAAGAAGCAAAACATAATGTTTTATTAACTTCATTATTTATCTTCCTTAATAGTATAATGTGTTTCCCAGCTACATGTTATTTTATGTGCCAATATATCTTCTAAATTAAAAGACATATATAGGATTAATCTCAAGTAATTTTATTTGTTTGTTCATTCCTTCATAACCTCTCGTGATTATATCATCAATAAATTTGATTTAATTGAAAAGAATTATTAATGTTTTAATAACCAAACATATATATTAATTTCATAAGTAACATGCTAAAACCTTCCCTTAACTTTTTTTTGTTGCCGCCACCCTCTTCTCAATCTAAAATTGAAACTTTTAAAACTTGAATCCGAATTAATTAAACCTTAATATCAATAATTAATAATTAATAACAAAATAATTTCACAAATTTATTTTTAAACCCTTGCCATAATGTGGTTTAACCCACGCAGAGCCCTCCTTCTCTAATGCTTCTATTCCACCTCTTCAGCTCGAACCCTGCAAAGGAATCCTTCTTGCTCGAAGAAACTACAATTTGTTTGACACTTCTATATCGCATGCTCAGCTTCGCTCCTCTTTCTCCTTCACACCTCTACTTATTCCCTCAACTTCTTCCTCTTCTCATTCAACTTTTTGAACCCGCAAATGTAGGGTTGGAGATGATCCCACCTTTCTTCTTCCTCTGCTTTCGATAGCGGCTCAACCCAACACCATACGTGTCGTCGTCCTTCCTCCTACTTCTCTCTACGCGAGGACTCCTATCGTAAACACAAGAGTTCCTCTTTTTCTATTAGGGATCAAGTCTTCTTCCTTACTTCACACCAGTACTGGTCAATAATTACGTGTGCAACCTACCACGACCTCGCTCGCATAGTAACAATGTGCGCTCCTTCCTCTTTGCCGCTTCTCACTTTCTCCATCAATGTCTCTCGTGGATTGGGAGAAAAAGATGCAAGAATAATTCTTTTTAACTTTAGTGTTGGTTGCCTCTATTTCAAGCAATACATTATTTATATAGATTCTTAATTTGGAACTAAGTCTTTAAAAGAGATGGGGACATTCATACTAATTAATAAATGTTGGAGAGATTCATTTAAAGTTAAAAAAAAGTAATTATATTTGCATATATAATTAGAGATATTTACATGCATGCCACTCAACTCTTATGTATTTGTGTATCTAACACCAAAACTTTAAAGAATACTCATGTAAATTTATTTGTGCATGAATAGATATCTTTCACCCTTTTTTTATAGTTAAAATGGAGTTATTTACTTTTATATCAGATTTGGGTAGTAGTAATAATTTTTTAAAAAAGGGGAACTTTAGGTGGTAAATATGTAAATACCTAGGAATTGGGTGGCCGGTATGTAAATGCCCATATTTAATACGTTACGGACCGCCACGTACGATGCGCCTGCCGTATCAGCAACCAGCAATTTCGATCACGGCATGCAGGAGTAGTACGCCCTTCTCTTCCGCTTTCCATCTCTCCTCCGACCCGGGATGCGGGAGAAGGGCATAATTCTCCATGGCCGGGGAAGAGGAGACCATGGAAGATCACTGCCATCCGAAATCGTCGGCGGGCGGTGGTGGTCTAGTCGTCGGGAACTACTGCCATGATGTCATATTCCGCGACGGCGTTGTCGTCGGAGAAGGCCTAGGCGGTGCCGCCTCTTTTCTCTCTAACGTCCTCGATCCCCTCTCCCGAAATCCCTCCATCTACATCTCTAAGGTCGGTTCCGACTTCTCCTACTCAGTCTCCAACGCACCCATCACTTCCACCTCTTCTCGAACGACCCTCTTCCACGCCCACTTCCCTTCCGCATCCGGTGGAGGCTACCATGGAGACCGCATTCTTCATCGTGTTCGTGCCTGCGAATCGATCTTCCCTTCCGATCTCCCCTTATGCAGATTCGACTTCGGTCTCGCTGCTGGAGTTGCTGGGGAGATTCTTCCGGAAACCCTAGCCCTCATGCTTGATCTGTGCCGCGTTATGTTGGTCGACGTGCAGGGGCTAATTCGGGTTTTTGACTCGGGCGACGGAACCGTGGGACTTGCTCCGCTGAGGAGCACTGCTTTTTTGGAGTTTATTCCTCGAATCGATTTTCTGAAGGCGTCGGCTGACGAGGCGCCCTTTCTGGATTTAGAGGAAGTGAGGAAGGTTTGCTGCGTGATAGTCACGGAGGGGAAGGATGGGTGCAGCGTATATTGGAAGGAAGGGGAGGTGAAGGTTGCTCCATTCCCGGTTGTTCAGATCGATCCGACCGGCGCCGGAGATAGTTTTTTGGGTGGGTTTGTTGTGGGGTTGAGCTGGGGCTTGGCCGTGCCGGATGCTGCGCTTCTGGGGAATTTCTTTGGCGCGCTAACTGTAGGCCAGATTGGAGTTCCTAAGTTCGAGCTGAGCTTGCTAAAGGTTGGTTTCTATTAGTTCTTTTTCTCAACAATCTTGTGTTCTTGTCGGTTCATTTTAACTGCTGTTTTTACTTCTGTTGTTTTGAGTTATATAGGGTTTTTCTTTTTGGTTCGCTTCATATGAGATCATGATCTGTTCGATCAAACTGTCAGCGCTGAAGCATTATGAATTTTTTCTGTTGACCATGCGCTTGCTTGGGAACAGACTCATCATATGGCCTTTTATTCCTCGCCCATCTCATTGTCTCCGTTTAGAGATACTCTAAGGAATATGATTCTCATATTTTGAATTATGATTTTAACCTATATGATGTTATCCAAGTCCGTTATTTATTTTTTATTCTTTGAGCTTGCTGAACTTGGTTTGACATTGGCTGACTCTTTCAGGATATAAGTAAGTTTTTGCTTCTTTCATGCCTGTTAGTTTTCTCTATTTTATATTAACTTCTTGTGTTTTTTCTCCATTGTAAACAAAAGTTAAATTCGACTCCAGAAGCAATCTCTGTCTTCCAAGTTCTGCTCCTGAAAGTTTAGGTCATACGCAGGAATCTTTCATCCCCCTACAATTCGATTCAGGAAACTTCACAATCCATCTCAGTGCATCCTACTCTTTGCATCCTCTTAGCGGGAGCAGGTCTTCCCAGGTTTATGTTCCCTGCTGTCCTTAGCCCTTCTTTGAGGACAACTGTATGATTCTTCAAGTTCTTGACCCTGTTATTTGTCCAGAACAACAACCAGACTACTTGCACGGTACATAACAGGCTCGTAGCTCTACATTTCACTTAGATACCTCAAAGATGCTGCATGTTAGTCATTGTTGCACTCAACCACCTAAGATTTTATTTATTTATTTTTCCAGACAACTATTTTGTAGATATTTTATTTAGCACATCATCCCAGCATGTTGCATGCCTTATGCACATTGAACATTACGTATCGGTCTCCCACCTGTGTGTGCACCATCGTTGCAACGTTTTGCATTTTAGAATCCTCTCGGCAATGTATTTTCTAGCTATTTTGGCCAACTAGGCAACTACATGTGAATTTATTCATCATCACCCACTGCTGCAGCTTCTTAGTTCTCTTGAACTCCTACTACTTGAAAATCAATAGTGCTCTCACCGCTTTTGAAGCTTCATGAGACTCAGTACGCTTGTTCTTGCTGTTCTTTTGCTAGCGCCAGGCTATGGTAGAGTTTCCTATTTCTATTACCTTTTCTCTTTCTTTCTCTCCCGGAAGCCTTTTTGTTATTGCGCTCAGTGAACTTACTAAATTTAGTTTGCTTCAGGGGAGCTAGCCTCAAAGTGGACATGTATTCTTGTTGAATCAGTATAAACCTCATGTTTGCTGTTTTTTGTGTTTTGCTTCTTCCCGACATCTACTATTTATCATATCTAACTCCTTGGTAACTTAGGTTAAAAATTTAAAAATAAAAATAAAAACAATAAAACAAAAACTTAGGTAGAAATTTCACTCACAAATTTTCAAACCCTTTGAGCAGATTGTTTGTTTAATGCTACTCGATCATCTAGGCAGCATTAATTCTACTGTTCACATTTTTCTTTTTTTTTATTTATTGTACTCATTTATTATACACATTGTTTGTGCGAAAATCAAAATTTGAACTTGTCTAATACCCTTGTTTGGAAAAGAACTATTTTCTTAGCATTTTTAGAGGTTGCAAATGCATAAAAGGTTTTTTTTTACCTCTTTTCTAACTTTTAGTTTACTTCATCTAGTAGATTAGCTTCTCTCATTACACTAACATTATTGATAGAATACTGATTAGGTGTTTTTTGCATGTTTTCCTTGTTCATTTAAAATTATGTCATCTAAATTAGCTTTGTTTGTTAGGTGTTTCACTTTGTAGAATACAGAAATATTTTTGAATGCTTCTAATTTAGTGTGCACTTCTAAGATGTGCCATATTCATGTGGAACTACTATAGCAATATTAAAGTGACTTGAATATCTATTTTAATAGAAAGAAAGAGTGCATAGTTTGGGCATTTTGTTGCTTAATATCTACGTCAATTCAGAAGAGTTGCTTCTACAAATCTTTGCAACAAGTAAAAAGAAGAAAAAAATTGAAGTCAATATGACATATTACAGGATGAGTACACAATTTTCTAAACTGAAAACTATTGAGTGCAAGAAATAGGTCTATAAAGAAAGAGAGTTGATCTCATTCACCTAATATATTTCCAATATTATAGGCAGAATTAATCAAGTTAAAGAGAGAGAAATGACATATACTTTTTTAAGTAGAATCTTTGAAAAAAAAGATCATTGGCAGTGAAGGCACTAGAAAACAAAGCAAACTATTGTGCGTGTATTGGGCCATGACAATGCATCAAAGGTTGAGCACAACTCACCTTTTTCGCAGTTGCAAGTAAAATAATAGCGCTATGGTAAACTATGCAATGCAAATTCCATCATGTTAAATGTGGCCTATAAAACAATCTCAAGTTAGATGAACTAAAGTAATGCAATTTATAAATATTGATAAGGATGCCCCTGATATGCCAAAACAATTCTTTTAGACGGTGATAATAAAAGATGTAGATTGTGCCTTTCCGTGATTGAGAACTTATTGAATAAGTTTACGTATAGTCTATTCAACTGTGGTAGAGGCAGATTAGGTGGTTGATAGTGGTGGATTGATGGAGCCAACTAGTAATGATTTATCAAGTTCATACTTTAATTAGACCATCTTGTCGATCTTAACATCACGAGTCGAATGAGGATGGAGCATCAAAGTTGTGATGATAAGAGAACAATAATTTAATGAAAATTTGTTGCCAAAAAATAAGATTGGAATAGCAATATATTTTTATATTAAAATGTCATCTTTTTCCAAACAAACATTTGTCATGAGTGGCTCACGATCTATGGATGTGCAATGGATCCAAAAAATTTAGAATTTTTTTGACGAACTACAAAATAACAAGCATTTGGTGGTGCAATTTGATGCATTGATGCACTGATAGTTTGCTAATGTTAAGAGATGTCAGGGATTTGTTTGAAGTGCCCCCAACACCTTTCATGTACAAACCATAAAAGACTTCACATGCGATAAAGCTAATTGTTGAACAAATTTAAACATTTGTCCAAGATGCATTCGACTTTTGATCCAAATACTTCACTTAATATAGGCCATTTATGTGTTGAATTTTGGAGATTTTGGCACCATTGGATTCATTGAGGAGTGTTTAATTCTTTTGAATGTTTTTTTGTTCATTTTGAGTCTCCAAATTAGTTTTCTAAGTAATTTGATTTTTTGTTTATTCTTAGGTTGCCTAAAGATTTTTGGATTTTACTAAAATTTGAATTTGATTGAGCAAAGGAATTCTAGGAGTTACTCCTTTATTTTTTGACACTGTATCACATAGATCCAAAAAACTCTGATGGATAAGAATCTCTCCCATGTGATATAATTATATAAGAGAAACATTAATGACTATGTGGACCTTCTCTTATCGTCATGAACCAATTTGCTCTCCACCACTCTTAATTTCAGTTTATACATGCAGCTTTAATGCAAAAAGTTGCTAAAAATTTTGAACCTAATTGATTTAGGAGGCTCAAGCGTACATCTTAGATGCTTAACCTTTAAACTAAAAACATCTATCATAAATGTTGAAAATGAGGGTGTTTGAAAACCTTAAACATGATATTAATAAATTATTCAAAACATTTTGGGATTCAAGTCATAGAGAATCTTAACAAAAATATAGAATACAGGTACGATTTCACACACACACACACACACAGATATATATATATATATATATAAACAATTTTTTTTAAGAAAGGTTTTACAAAATTTGGAATGTTTTTAAGGTTATTTTTTACTTGAAATATTTTCGATAAATCTAAAAAAATCTCAAGCAACCTTTTGGCCGAAAAAATAATAAAAATCACTTTTTCCATAAAAATAGCTTTTTGTTCTTAGGATTTAATTTGGCACAAGAGGAATTAATTGGAGTAGGATGACGTTTATCTTAAAATTGAGGTTTGGTTCGAGAGCAAAACTTAAATGATATCCCACAAGTGGCGCGACATAAGCTTTGAGGCTAATAGGGAGTGGAGATTTTATCTCCTCATCATGATTGTGGATCACCTTAGGAGCACGGATGAAATAAAGCCTTGAAGGTAGTGCAATGGAGGAGGCCATTGGGAGTAAGATGTCGCATCCCCCATATAGGACAAAGGGTCTGTTTGGCGCAGCTGTAGATTATTTATAATCTGCTGATAAGTAGATTATTCTGATCTGGCTTGCTGTTTGGGGCAGTTTATTTAGATTAACTTATTGGTGGTTAAATGATATTTCTGCCCCTGTCTAATAAAACTGTTTGGGGCAACTTATTCAAAATTGATTATTGGTAGAACAAAAACATATAATAATGCAGAAACATAAGATCATCATAGATCAATTCTAAGAGATTACATACAGTTCTCACACCCTCATGAGTACCGGAATAAATAAAAAAAGTACAAAGACAAGTACAACTACAATGAGAAATATTAAAATATTTAATTTTAAACTCTGGGTACGCTTCTCATCGGCTGCACTATCAAACTCGAAAAACACCGGATTCCCATGACTGTTGGCATAACTACTAGCAGTGTAATATGTGAGACTATCAACCCACTGGAAGAAACTACAACCAGCTGAAACACCCTTGGCACAACCGTAGAACTGCCTTCCAAAACAATAAGGCTAACGTGACGTGAGCATCCGAAATGGTAGTCCACAATAACACAAAATACCTCTGATTGTAACTGATATCCTAGAGGTAATGTTGGTATAACTGCGAAAACAACGAATAAATCAAATGTCAGCTCAAGATATTTAAAAAAAAAAACCAAAACTAAATGCATATGAATATCAACCTGTAATCTTTTTAAACAAAAACTTGGTAGATCAACATCCACATATAACATCTGTGATAGACTCTCTTAAAGCTATCATATTAACCAAACCTTCACCATCATGATC